ATAAAAGATGTGGATGCTAGTGTTTTAAAAAAGGTTAATTTTAAATTGGGCATTGCTGCATCTTTGTTGGATGCCATTTTGAACCCGACGCTCTGGCCTGCGGATGTTAAAGTTCAAAAAGAGGGTCTTGCCAGCAAGCAGCCTTAGACTTGCAAAAAAGCACTGGCCTTAAACTGTACTTCCAAAACATGTCTGAAATGCGTACTAAAGCAAAGGAAATTTATTTGCAAACATCTCGAGGGGAATTTGATGTCTACGTTTTCGTTGAAACCTGGCTAAATAATAATTTCTTTAATGAGGAGTTTTTCGATTCGGACTTATTTCATGTATACCGCAAGGATAGAGATGCCGTGAAAACAGGCCACCTTAAGGAGCTGTCAAGCGTAGCCTACGGTCATCTTGGTATCAGCGTAATAATCACGACCCTCTACTTGATCAGCTGTGTGTTTGTCTATTAGCTCTTTTAAAAAATTATTTATTTGTGTCTCATATATCCCGCCTCATAGTGCTGAAGACTTTTATTGCTCACATGTTAATAATATTGTTGATTTATATGATAAAAATAATGATTGTAATTTCTGCATTCTTGGCGACTTTAATCTTAAGGATATAATATGGTCAGACCTGCAAGGGAACGGTGTTTTAACTCCTACTAATATTAATAGAGCTCATGAGATTTATCTTCTAGATAATTTATTTAGCCTGAATCTTATCCAAGTTAATTTTACTTTTAATAAGCTGCAAAGGATACTAGATCTAGTTTTTGTAAATGAGAACTCAATATGTAATCTAACTGAATCTGACTTTCCGAATAGTAAAACTGATAAGCATCATGTTGCTCTTATCGTATCTTTGGAATATTACGACGCCGTTGTAATTGATAGTAATAGGCCATCTTCTTCCAACTTCCGGTCTACGAATTACCAGGACTTGAATCTTGGTATTTCTGATATCGATTGGAGCGCTATCCTGTGTTCGGACAATGTTAGTGTGTGTTTTGAGGCTTTTCTACACGAAATGACTGTTTTATTCTCTCGCAAGCTTTCTCATCTTCCTACCCGAATCCATAAATTACCTTGGTACAATAAAACTCTTAAAAAGTTGAAAAACCAAAGAAATAAATACTATAAAAAGTTTAAAGCTAGAGAGTATGATACTGGCCTTAAAGATTTATATGTGTATTATATGAAGCAATTTAATGTTCTCGATAAGTTTTTGTATAACCAATAAATCCGCAGATTTGAACTTGAATTAAAAGAACATCCCAAGGCGTTCTGGATATTCATTCGTTCTAAAAGGGGTTCTTCAAACATTCCTTCTTGCATGTACTTTAATGGTAGGTCCTCTCATTCTCTTAATGATTCGGTGGAACTGTTTGCTGAATTTTTCAAATCCAATTTTGTCCTTGATGATGACTTTGGCAACACCCTCCCCTGTCCTAGTCTGCCCCAGCCCTTAGATTTTGGGTCTTTGTCCATTACTGAAACAGATGTTATTAATGGTATTTCCTCTCTAAAATCCTCTTTTAAGTGTGATAATGATGGTTTTTGTGAATATTTCCTAAAATGTTGTAGTTCCACTGTTTGTGCGCCGCTGTGCTTAATCTATAACCTCTCCCTTTCCTCCGGAGTGTTTATCCTTCGGTGGAAAGTTGCTTCCATCTCACCAGTTTTTAAATCGGGTAGCAGGAATGATGTTTCAAATTATAGACCCATTTCTAAATTAACGGTCTGTTCTAAGCTCTTTGAGAGAGTCATTTACGAGAAGTTGTCTTTTGTTTCCAAACGAATCCTGTCACCTCACCAGCATGGTTTTGTGTCCGGTCGTTCTACGGTTACAAATTTAGCACTATTTTCTGAGTACTGCGTATCGGCTTTTAAATGTGGGTATCAGGTTGACTCTATCTACACGGATTTCTCGAAAGCAATTGATAAAGTATCTCATTCTATTTTGCTGTATAAACTTAAGTGTCTTGGCTTTCATTCTGTTTTTCTGTCTTTTTTAAAATCTTATCTCTCGAATAGAACTCTATTTGTGGAAATTGAACATCACAAATCGAAGTCATTTGTCGCCACCTCGGGAGTACCGCAGGGTAGTATCCTTGGTCCTCTTTTGTTCGTTCTATTTATTAAAGATATTGGCTCATGTTTTAAATACTCTAGCTTTTTACTTTATGCTGATGATCTGAAACTTTTTCGGAAAATCACCTGTGTGTCTGATATTGTATACTTGCAATGGGATTTGAACAATCTTGTTGACTGGAGTTGTCGCAATAAGTTGGAACTTAATATAAAGAAATGCTTCCACATGACGTTTTCAAAAACTCATAAAACGGTTATTTCAAATTTTCCATCTCAAATCACCAGCTTACGAAAGTTAATGATTTCGTGGATTTGGGTGTTGCGTTTGACTCAGCTTTTTCTTTTGTGAACCATGTGTGCTATTTATTTCCAAAGGTGTTTAGCAATTTAGCGTTTTTACGTAGATATGGGAAAGATTTAAAGATCCGTATACCAGAAAATCTCTTTTTAATGCACTTGTTCGCTCGAAATTAGAGTATGCTTCAGTAATTTGGAACCCAATTTACAGTTCTCACGCTTGTAGAATTGAACGTGTTCAACGAAAATTTATTCGCTTTGCTCTTCAGCCATTTAATTTCTCGGATCCTCTTCCTTCATATGGTGCTAGGTGCAAACTAATTAATTTGAAATCTCTGGAAGTGAGGAGAATTGTCCAGTCGCTTATGTTTGTCTATGACTTAATTAATGGATATATAGACTGCCCTAACTTGCTTGAACTGATAAGCTTTAATGTTCCCCACAGAGTATTGCATTTTCAATTGCCATTTTACTTGTAACCAGTCAAAGCGAATTATTTTTATCTGGCTCCGGTTTTTAGAGCTCTTTCGGAATTCAGCTGTATCTCAGGAAGGTTTAATATTGAGTTCTCGACTTCTAGGTCCTTACTCAAATCTATGATTGAATCTATTTACTCCTAAACTTATACACAAAGTATGTACAACTTTTTACTTAATAGGGTTATATTTAATTAGTTATTTTGATTAAATTTGCTCCTATATGTGTAAGTGTACTATGTAACATGTTTCTGCTGTTGTTGTATGTTATTATATAATTCTAAGGTGTTTTTTGTAATCTAGTCTGTAAGATTTTTTATCAGTCATAGACTAAATAAAGATTGAATTGAATTGAATTGAATCTGTGGTTTTCGCACGCGGAACCATTGTAGGGCCTTCCCGCGTAACACTTCAGGTAGGGTTGGGAGGAGGTTGTCCAGTGGGATGCGGTAGCATTCGGCTAGATCTTCTATCCTCTCCAAGAAGTCGTGTAGCGCGTCGCCTCCCGAAAAATGTACGTCCCATCGGCGAACGGTATTCATTAACTCGGCTTCGCTGATCTCGCCACGCTTTGTTGCAGGCTTCATCTCCAGTGGCGGTGGACTATAGTTGTCGATCCGGGCGGTGGGGATGGTGCTAGGTTGCAGCTTTACTGGTCTCTCCTCTTCTGCTTTAATCTCCTCTTCCAAATCTCTTAATAAATCCTCTGTTGATTTGCGATGTCGCTTCGCTTTCACATATGCGCTAAGCGCATTGCCCAGGTCGGCGACTGTATATCCCTCTACGAAAATTCGGTGCCGCTTGCACTCCTCTATTAACTTCCCCTTCTTTAGCAGATATATCCAGCTGAGGGAGTCGACGTTCAGCGTATTGGTGTTACTCTCGCTGGCGCGTGTGTCATCTGTTGGTTGTGGTGTGTTCGGCGAGCCCGCTTCCGCAGTGTTGGTGCTTGTTAAGTTTTTTGCACATGCGCCTGCAGAGCTGGGTCCCTGCTCGGGCGCCATTTATGAGGTGGGTTTTGTCGAAGGCTGAGGTGAGGTCAGCCGATCCAGAGTCCAGCGAAGGTCCCACTAACCCCCACCAAATAAATCACACTATTTTCGTGTACTAACCTCGAACACACACACAGCGCTATGACTAAAGTGCCAGCAATCTTATGTCCAGAGAGAGGGAGCGAGAGAGTGCGAGGTAACGTTCGTTGTTGTCGGGCGGTCGGGTCGGAGTGGATGACGATGAGAGCGCTAGCAGCACGGCGGATGACTCTCAGGAGCGGCGGAGCAACGGTGAGGGCGCTAGCAGCGCGGCGGGTGACTGTTGGCAACAGCGAAGCAACGGTGAGAGCGCTAGCAGCACGGTGGGTGAGTCTCAACAACTGTTGAGCAACGGTGACCAGCGGTGGCGGCACGGCGAGTAATTCTCCGCAACGGTTGAGAGCGCTAGCAGCACGGCGGATGACTCTCAGGAGCGGCGGAGCAACGGTGAGGGCGCTAGCAGCGCGGCGGGTGACTGTTGGCAACAGCGAAGCAACGGTGAGAGCGCTAGCAGCACGGTGGGTGAGTCTCAACAACTGTTGAGCAACGGTGACCAGCGGTGGCGGCACGGCGAGTAATTCTCCGCAACGGTTGAGAGCGCTGGCAGCCCGGCGGGTGAGTCTCAACAACTGGTGAGCAACGGTGACCAGCGGCGGCGGCACGGCGAGTAATTCTCTGCAACTGTAGAGAGCGCTAGCAGCACGGCGGGTGAGTGTAAACAACTTTTGAGCAACGGTGACCAGCGGCGGCGGCACGGCGAGTAATTCTCCGCAACGGTTGAGAGCGCTAGCAGCACGGCGGGTGAGTCTCAACAACTGTTGAGCACCGGTTACCAGCGGCGAGAGGCACGGCGAGTAATTCTCCGCAACGGTTGAGAGCGCTAGCAGCACAGCGGGTGAGTGTCAACAACTGTTGAGCAACGGTGACCAGCGGCGGCGGCACGGCGAGTAATTCTCCGCAACGGTTGAGAGCGCTAGCAGCACGGCGGGTGAGTCTCAACAACTATTGAGCAACGGTGACCAGGGGCGAGCGGCACGGCGAGTAATTCTCCGCAACGGTTGAGAGCGCTAGCAGCACGGCGGGTGATCTTCGGCAGCAGATGACTTCTAATAGCAATGGATGGTTCGTACTGTTACTCGGCAACCGATGGAGCGGAGCGACCTAGCGAGACTCATCGTCAGGTACCGCCGCTCCCATAATTGCACACTACGTGAGTAGGGGCTGGAATGGGGGCGGCGGTAACCGCTGCTCGGACAGCCGGAGACGATTTAGTGCGTCCGAAAACACACCACTAGGCGCCAACCGATTAGTCGAGCCGTGCTTGGATTAACCAGCCGGAGACGATTTAGTGCGTCCGAAAACACACCACTAGGCGCCAACCGATTAGTCGAGCCGTGCTTGGATTAACCAGCCGGAGACGATTTAGTGCGTCCGAGGACACTCCACTAGACGCCAACCGGCTGGTCAAGCGATGATTCGGTTAACTATTCAGAGACGATTTGGTGCATCCGAAGACACACCACTAGGCGCCAACCGACTAGTCAAGCCCAGCGAGACTGACTCGACTGCGCACTTGCTCAGCTTTTTATACTCGTTGCTGCGTATTTGGTTTGAGAATTCGTCGTGTGCGCTCTCCCGATGGTAGCTGGCGAACGAAGTGGTTGGTATGCTGCTAGCAGTGTTTTGCCTGATGCTGTATGAGTGTGCCGAAGAGTGCATATGTACATTGTTGCGTATGTACGGCGGTGTATATATGTGCGTTGGAGTGTTTATGCTTCGTTTGTACGTTGTCGGTATGTATCGGAGGGTATGTATATGCGTTGTTATGTGTGTACAGTGGTGTATGTACGTATGTATAGTGGGATATGTATGTACGGTGGGGTACGTATGTACTCTATCGTGATGTGTACTATTGTTTCGTAGTGAATTGCTACGTTACAAATTTTTGCAGTGATTACAAATTCGTATGATTCTCTAAATATTAAAAAATGCTTTCAAGTTACATTTTCCAAAAGTCGCAGTATTGTTTCGACGTCTTATGCTATCTCTTAAAATCAACTTCAAAAAGTTCAAGAAATCAAAGACCTTCGGTGTTATTTTCAGCTCTAATTTCTCTTTTAATAGTCATATCAGCCACATCATTTCTAGATCTTACGCTGTTCTTGGTTTTGTCAGACGTCAGAGTTCAATGTTCTCTGGCCCCTATATACTTAAATTGTTATTCACATCTTTTGTTCGTTCTAAATTAGAATATGCTTATTTTATTTGGAGGCCATACCATGCACGCTTAATTAATAGGATTGAAAGGGTTCAAAAGGTTTTTCTTAAATTTGCTCTAAGAAATCTAAAATTCACCGAGCCTATTCCAACGTATAATTCCCGTTTGCTCTTAATAGACCTTAAATCTCTGGAAGCCAGAAGATCTTTTCTCTCTCTAACTTTTACTTTTAATTTAATAAATGGTGTGATCGATTGCCCCAGCCTCCTAGAGCAGGTCAACTTCAATGTTCTTCAAAGGATTCTTCGCAATCCTATGAATTTTATGGAGGAAATTGTAAAAAGGAGTAAGCCAGAAATGCTCCTATTTCAAGAGCTTTAAATGAATTTAACACAATCTCGAATTCTATCGAACTTGATTTTTCCCTTCCACTACAGAGTACTTTATGCTTTACACGTATCGTTTAAGTACCTAATTTCTGTATCTAGTCTGTGTTTCATATGACTGAAATAAATTAAAATATTACAATATTACAACAGTGATGATCAGCAGCATCACATAAAGATCTGACTCGTGACGCCAAACAAGCGTGTAACAAACGCTTGCGCAGAAGCATCAAAGCCGCAGTCATTTGGGGATACTAAATTAGAGCTGGAAAACTATCGATGGCACTATCGATAGTATCGATGGTTTTTGACTATCGAAAACATCGATGGTTTTATAAGCACTATCGATAGTTTTCACTCATACATATATTATTCAATAAGAGTAAACGGCGGCGGGACCTGCTTCATCTTGTGAGTCGGAAGGGACATTTAGCAAAGCAGGGAAAATAATTTTAGAGCACAGATGCTGCTTGAAGCCAAAAATCGTTAATAATCTTAACAAAAGTATGGAAAAATTTTATAAATTCTGATCTCATTTTCAATCAAAGTTTTTATGTCTAGTTTTTGGAATTCTTTAATCAAAACTATCGATAGTACTATCGATAGTGGCGACATTTTCGATAGTATCGATACTATCGATGGCTGCGACTATCGAAACTATCGATAGCTCTATACTAAATGCTGCAAAATGCTGAAGTGAATGTGAAGCACATTCCTGCAGGAGGCCCCAGTATGTTGAAGCTTCGGCTTCAATATGAGTAGAAAACACAAATTAATGGCAAACATTTTGTGCTCACCCTAGTGATGTTCCTTTGGTGTTCTACTTTCCCTACTCTCTCTCGTTCATGTTAGCATGCATTCCTTTTGCAACAGTCCACGCGTGCGGAAGGGAGCGGGCGACTTTTCTAAGTGTACATAAATAATTCTCGGAGCACCACCTCAAATATATAAAACACCATTTGTGTCTATGGTCATAAATATGTACATATACCATCGATAGTTTTCCAGCTCTATACTAAATGCTGCAAAATGCTGAAGTGAATGTGAAGCACATTCCTGCAGAAGGCCCCAGTATGTTGAAACTTCGGCTTCAATATGAGTAGAAAACACAAATTAATGGCAAACATTTTGTGCTCACCCTAGTGATGTTCCTTTGGTGTTCTGCTTTCCCTACTCTCTCTCGTTCATGTTTGCATGCTTTCTTTTTGCAACAGTCCACGCGCGCGGAAGGGAGCGGGCGACTTTTCTAAGTGTACATAAATAATTCTCGGAGCAACCACCTAAAATATATAAAACACCATTTGTATCTATGGTCATAAATATGTACATATATTTGGATAAAGAAAGTCCCCTCCAAATTGTTAGTTTAAACGCGGGTGTTTGATTTTATTTGAAGGAACCATCTCGTGTTTAAATATAATGAAATATTGTTTTACCTTGAAATTTATATATTTTATATCCTCTATATCAGGCAGCAGGACGTTTATAATAAAAGTCCTTAGAAAAAAGTTATCTTTGGACTTTTATCTTAAGTCCTACTTTTATTTTTTAAGTCCAGCAATAAAAGTTAAACTTGGCCAAATATTTTTTAAGTCCGAAATAAAAGTCCTTTCGTAATAATAAACAAACCCTTTATCCAAATCAAACGAGTTTGGTACCAAATGAAAGAGGACTGAAATAGCTTTCAAACAGAAATATTTCAACGAAGATTAATACCTATTTATATATATTTTTTATAATCTATATATTTAATACGCGAAGCAATTTTTTGTCCAGGTCATCAGATCTGCACCGTTCATTCGATTTCAAAAATGAAGTGTAAAATTAAAGGGTTTGGCCAGCAGACGTGCAATAAAGTTTTATTTTTTCAAAAATTGTTGCCACCTGTTAAAAAATTTAATTCAAATTATTTAATAATCTATGCCATTTCATCCGCACCGTTCGTTCGATTTTGAAAAATGAGATGTAAGATTAAAGGAGTTGGGCTGTAGATGTGCCGTTAGGTTTTAGTTTTTCGAAAAAAGTTGCCACCCTTTCAAAAATAAGAATTATTCAAAATATTTAAAAAGTTAAAAGAGTTATTGCAATATGGGTATAAACCAAAATGGTTTAGAAAATATTTATTTCTCAAGTACATGTAGGAGCAACCGACCCTAATTGTGTTAACTTATACGCAAGTTATACATACGAAATATGGGTATCAAACGGCATATTTTTAAAGAATCTTTAGTTTGAACTTGGTAATCTTTGAAAGGGGTTGTCACCATTAAAAAGATTTAATGGTTATTATTTAATAAGTTAAATGAATTATTAAAAGATCGGCATGTATTTAGGAGAGCTGCCATTTTACAAAAAAAAAAAATTCAAAACCAATAACTGATTTACTAAAAAAATGTTTATTATAGCTTAAAATTATTGTAACCAATAGAGGTAAATATGTTGTACAAAAACGCATAAAGAGAAGTTCGCAAAAGTTGATATAAAACTACTCGTCGATTTAAATAGTTAACTTTTTTCTGCGCATGTTTATTTTACGAGGAGAAAGCATCGGAAGCCTAACCCCGTCAGTGTGAGACTTTAACCCAAACTATACTTCCCACCGTCATGTACCGTTCCATTCCCGGTACCACCGTCAAGGACTTCGTCGGGATTATACCACTATGTGACTGATAAGGTTAAAGATCTATTCTCTTCTTCTCCTTATTTGGCGCTGTAACCGCTAAATCGATTTTGTTCGAGTTCAACAAAGCACGCCAGTCGTTTCTCTTCTGTGCCAACTGACGCCAATTGGAAACGCCATGTGAAGCCAAGTCTTTCTCCACCTGATCTTTACATCGCAGTGGGGGCCTCACTCTTCCTCTGCTACCACCAGCGGGTTCCGAGTTGAATACTTTCAGAGCTGGAGCCTCGGTGTCCAATCGAACGACATGGCCAAGCCAGCGGAGCCGCTGTATTTTAATTCGCTGCATTATGTCCATGTCAATGTAAAGCTCATACAGCTCATCGTTCCATCGTCAGCGGTACTCGCCGTCGCCAGCGCGTACCGTCCCGTAAATCCTCCGCAAAATCTTTCTCTCGAATACTCCAAGAGCCGCCTCATCGGATGTTGACATTGTCCATGCTTCTGCGCCATATACCACGAGCATGATGAGTGACTTATAGAGTGTTGTTTTCGTACGTCGAAAGAGGTCCTCCTGAATTGCCTACTCAGTCCAAAGTAGTACTTGTTGGAAAGAGTAATTCTGCGTTGGATTTCCATGCTTACATTATTATCGGTGTTAATTCTGGTTCCCAAGTAAACGAAATTCTCTACTTTCTCCAAGTTATAACTATCAACAGTGACGTGGGTGCCAAGGCGCGAATACGCTGATTGTTTGTTTGATGACAGGAGATACTTCGTCTTGCCCTCGCTTACCACCAGACCCATTCGCTTTGCTTCCCTATCCAATTTGGAAAAGGCAGAACAAACTTCGCGGTTTTTCTTACCGATGATGTCAGTGTCAATGGCATAAGCCAGC